AACTGTTGAGAACAGAACACGCAGATTGTTGCTGCAGCCTTCAATCATTTCAGAAAAAAAATACCTTTCTCTCGTACTACGCACCCGGTTAAACTCGCACAACTTATCTTTGAAGATCTCGTAATCAACCTGGAGGTTGGACTTGCGCCACTTCCGCTCGGCCCTCCGGCACTTTCTCTTTTGTGCCCTGACCGAGTCTGCTTTAGCCCACGGCGCCTTCTGCTTATTTTTCACTATTTTAACCTTCACAGGGGCAACGGTATCCAGAACATTCAAAACACTAGAGGTGACAGAGTTAAACAGTTCATCTACAGTAGAATACAATGCATTCTCAAAGTTTATCATTCCCATAAATAGTTCACTCGTATTTTCATTTATGCACCTTCTTCGAACAGTTGCAGAGTCCACTGGTGGTTTGTTAGTGAAACACATGTAAAAAAAAACACAGAAATGATCCGAAAGAGCAACATTGACCACGTTTACATTTGAAATATTCACCCCCTTAGTAACTAACAGATCTAGAGTGTGCCCTCTGCTGTGGGTGGGGCCACTTACGTGCTGAGTGAGATCAAAGGATTCAAGTACAGAACTTAGCTCATTTGCATTTCTGTCATCAACATTATCCACATGAATATTAAAATCACCTGTAATAACCAAACTATCAAAATCTGTGCATACAACTGAAAACAACTTGGTAAAATTATCAATAAAACTGTGACATGACTGCGGTGGCTTGTATAGGACAATGAAGAGTACTGGAGGAGATTGTTTTTGTTGTATTTTAAAAGACACATATTCAAATGACAAAAACTTCCCAAGAGACATTCTATGGGAGACAAGGTGGTCTCTAAAAATGGCAGCTAAGCCTCCTCCTTTTTTGTTTCCCCGTATTTCAGATTCAAACTTGAAATTTGGTCGTGATGCTTCTATTAAAACTGCATTTCCTGAATTTTGGTCAAGACAAGTTTCAGCCATGAACATAAGATCAAGATTATGAGAACAAATAAAATTATTGATTAAAAAAGACTTGTTACAAAGAGATCTGACATTAAGCGTAGCAAGTTTCAAAGTTTCAGTATCAGCGGTTGTGGTCGGCTGATTCTTACACGGAACAAGAATTAGATTTTCCAGATTAGACTGATTAACTCCAGATGTTTTTCTGTAATGTATTCTTTGTGTTATCACTAAGGGAATGGCACAGGTGGCTTCATGACAGGGCCCCAGCCGGGTCTCTCCTCTAACTAGACTGCCAGTGGTTGCGAAGCAGAGACCCTGTGCATCCTAATGTTTAGAGAAAAGAGGGGAGGGGGAAGGCGGGGGAGGAGGATGGAGAGGTGGGTGGCTTTTGGGTGTTGAACGAGGGTTTTTGGTGATGGGTTAGGGCCGGGGTGGGCTGAGGCAGAGGTTTTGGGTGTTGAACGAGGGGGAAGTGGGGGTGGAATGGTCATGAGGTTAGGGGAGGGACTGGCTGAGGGGGTTTTTGTAGGTGAATTGGAAACCCTAGGTGGTTTTGGAGGTACATATGGGGAGTGGTTTAGAATGTTGGACAGGACTCTAGATCTAGCTAATATGGGTGTGAGAGGAATAGTCTTCATTGCCGATTTTATTAGCCCTGCAGAGTGTTCAGGTAGGTCTAACAGTGAAGGCGGGGATGAAAAACAAAGGGAGGTGTCCCCATTCTCTCTTGATGGAGTGGACGTGGCAGGGGGGACCCAAGACAGGTCCATGGGAGGTGGCGAGGGAGTCTTTGATGGAGGGGCAGGTGGTTGAGGAAACCCCAGCACAGGCCTGTCTGCTGTAGGCTGGGTTGAGGATGGGGGCTTCAGAGGCGCTGTAGATGAAGAAGGCGTGGCTGCTTTGGAGCAGGCTGGGGATGAGGATGTTGGTGGTGGTGGTCGTGCTGCTGGTGCTGCTGCTGGTGATGATGCAGCTGCTTCTGATGACAGTGGAGGTGTTGAGATCCTTTGAGGCGGTGATGGTGTTGAGATCCTTCGAGGTGGTGGTGGTGTTGAGATCCTTCGAGGTTGTGGAGGTGTTGAAATCCTTCGAGGTGGTGGTGGTGTTGAGATCCTTCGAGGTGGTGGAGGTGCAGAGACTTTTAGAGTCGGCTTTCTCCCTTTCGATGGCTGCACGCGCTGCTCAGGCTGAGGTCTTAGGGCAAAAGAAAGGTTATCCATCAACACTTTTACTCCGTAAGTGTTCAGATGTGGCCCTTTCCCTTCAAAAAGCTCATGCCTATTCCAAAACAGATTAAAATTCTCAATGAAGGCAAGTCCTCTGCGTGAACATTCGTTGAGTAGGAAAGTATTTAGCTGATACAGACGACTGAATTTCATTTGCTTCCCGTCCACATTTGGTAGTGGGCCACTGATAACGATTGTTGCGTCCATTTTAGCAAGGTCGTCCAATAAGAGAGAGTAATCCCGTTTCAACTTTTCACTTGTGTTGTCATAGACGTCTACTGCCCCCACGTGGATCAACAATCTTTTTACCCCGCCGGTCTCAGACAGAAGCCTCGGAGCTGTAGGGTGAGGAAAAGGTGAGCGCCAATCGGGCGTGAATAGCAGACCCTTTCCGTAAACATGCCCTCCCTAGCTCCTGAGACTTCAAAGTAACTACGGGTTCAATGAAAGGCTAACATACTCTGTGTCCCTTTGTGACCCACGTCACACAGGATTATAACCGAGTTTATGTGTATAAAGGCTGTGAAAGGCAGCTGCTTGAATGTGATGCTACTGTTCTGCTAGGCTACGCTAACCCTGTCTCACCACTCTCTCTACCGCTAACCTGCTGTTGTACACACACACACCAAGACTGTACTGCACAATACAGACAAACACCATCCCACCGCTGGGATACGTGCTTGTGCGAACCGTATAACTCGCTCCAGACATTCGTTGTATAAACTACTGCTAAAACGTCCCGTTGCCGGCAAGCTAAAGGCTAGCTACACTCCTTTGTTCTAGCATACGGCTAACTTCCGGCCGGGCCCCGCTAGCCTCAAAGCTACATTCGGACAACGCCGTTGCTCCTAATACTGCTCCCACTAATAGCTGCTCTCTCACTGTTAATATTACTGCCGCTCTGTTTAACCAAATTGCATTCGGTTACCAAAACTCATTGTTTATTGCCTAAACTGCTGCTAAAACGTCCCGTTGCCGGCAAGCTAAAGGCTAGCTACGCTCCTTTGTTTTAGCATACGGCTAACTTCCGGCCCTGGCGTGCTAAAAGCCAGAGCCGCATCCCCACTGCTAATACCATTCTGCTGCATTGCCTACCCGTTGTCTAACAATAACACCACTTACTATGCTTTCGTACTATCCTATCTCACTCTGATTCTGTGTGATCATAAGGCGCTAGCCGTCTCGGCATACTGCTAAACGAGCCGCACCTCTTTTATTGTCTAACACAGGATTGCTTTCCGGTCCCGGCACTACTTCCGGGACCACATTGCTGCTGTCTTGACACTTCATTCTGCACCACGTCTTTAATCATCTGTGGCTGTGGCTCTAATGTAAAACGGCTTTGCTATACCTCCGTGCTGTTTTGTTACTCCAACTCAATAACCACATTACTGCCATACATTGGTAAAGCTAACACTCTGTTTCTGTTTCTCCTCTTTAACGTCATTGCTAGACTACATTACTGTGTTAGCCAAGTTAATGCTGTAAACTCTGCTCCTTCTGCTGCATGTCGCTGGTGAAACGCATTCTATGCTTTATTCCTGCTCACTCACTACTGGTAGTTTACGGTAACACATCTGTGTGGTGATTTAACAAATACTGCACTCCCACACACCCCCCCCCCCCCCTCCTTGCCACTGATAATACGCACTATTGTAGTAACTAATCCTATGCCGTGTTTCTGCTTCACGGATTTCTGCTGCATGTCACATTTTTTTTTTTTTCTCGTTAGACCACATTACTGCTATACATGAACAGAAGCTAACACTCTGTTTCTGCTTCTCCTCTTAAACATAATTGTTAGGCTACATTACTGCGTTGGCCAAGTTTCATGCTGTAACTCTGCTACTTCTAGCGCATGTTGCTATTAGAACACATTACTGCTATACATAACAAAAACTAATAATTTCAATTCTGCCCCTCCCACTGCATGTCACAGCTAGACCGCACTGCTGCCCATAGTTGTAACATTAACACTGTCTACTATCATTCCATGCTGTTTGTGTTTGCTACCTAACAACCACATTGCTACGTTGGTGAAGCTAATAATTTGATTCTGCCTCTGTTACTGCACGTTATGAATAACACATTACTGTGGTAACTAATCCTATTCTGTACTTCTGCTCCTGCATGATGCGCGTTATTGTTCAACCACATCGGTGTGTGATCTGACAGATACTGCACTCCCACCTCCTTGTACTACACTAAAACTAACAATTTTAATTCTGCCACACTGCTGCATGTAATTGGTGTACCACATTGCTGCGCTGGTGAAACTAATAATTTGATTCTGCCTCTGTTACTGCACGTTATGAATAACACACTACTGTGGTAACTCCTTGTACTACACTAAAACTAACAATTTTAATTCTGCCCCTCCTTCTGCATGTCACGGCTAGACCGCACTGCTGCCCATGGTGATAACATTAACACTGTCTGGCTGTTTGTTCCATGCTGTTTTGTTGCTCCAATTAATAACCACTCTACTCTGCCAAACTCTATGTTTGATTGTACTACATCAAAACTAATACTCTATTTCTAACCCTCACTGTCACTAAAACTGCATTGCCTTGCCTCAGCCTGCTGCCTCTTTGCTACTGCTTACTTGAGCTGCGTCTAAAGCTACGCCGCGGCCCACGCAGGTGCGTCCCTAACGCAGGTGCGGCGCAAACGCAAGTGCGTCCCAAACGCAAGTGCGTCCCAAACGCAGGTGCGTCCCAAACGCAGGTGCGTCCCAAACGCAGGTGCGTCTCGCCGCAGGTGCGTCCCATACGCAGGTGCGTCTCGCCGCAAGTGCGTCCCAAACGCAGGTGCGTCCTAAACGCAGGTGCGTCCCATACGCAGGTGCGTCTCGCCGCAAGTGCGTCCCAAACGCAGGTGCGTCCTAAACGCAGGTGCGTCTCGCCGCAAGTGCGTCCCAAACGCAAGTGCGTCCCAAACGCAGGTGCGTCCCAAACGCAGGTGCGTCTCGCCGCAAGTGCGTCCCAAACGCAGGTGCGTCTCGCCGCAAGTGCGTCCTAAACGCAGGTGCGTCTCGCCGCAAGTGCGTCCTAAACGCAGGTGCGTCTCACCGCAAGTGCGTCCCAAACGCAGGTGCGTCTCGCCGCAAGTGCGTCCTAAACGCAGGTGCGTCTCGCCGCAAGTGCGTCCCAAACGCAGGTTCGTCCTAAAAAGCAGGTGCGTCTCGCCGCAAGTGCGTCCTAAACGCAGGTGCGTCTCGCCGCAAGTGCGTCCCAAACGCAGGTGCGTCCTAAAAAGCAGGTGCGTCTCGTCGCAGGTGCGTCCTAAAAAGCAGGTGCGTCTCGTCGCAGGTGCGTCCTAAAAAGCAGGTGCGTCTCGTCGCAGGTGCATCTCACGCTGCGTCTCTTACGCCGCGTCCCTCACGCTGCGTCTCTTACGCCGCGTCCCTCACGCTGCGTCTCTTACGCCGCGTCCCTCACGCTGCGTCTCTTACGCCGCGTCCCTCACGCTGCGTCCCTTACGCTGCGTCCCTCACGCTGCGTCTACTACGCCGCGTCCCTCACGCTGCGTCTCTTACGCTGCGTCCCTCACGCTGCGTCTCTTACGCCGCGTCCCTCACGCTGCGTCTCTTACGCCGCGTCCCTCACGCTGCGTCTCGTACGCCGCATCTAAAGCTGCGTCTCTTACGCCGCGTCCATCACGCTGCGTCTCTTACGCCGCGTCCCTCACGCTGCGCCTCTTACGCCGCGTCTACCGCTGCGGATTAACGCCGCGCCCTAATACTGCTGCTACCGCTGGCGCCACTGCTAACCCTACGTGCGCCAACGCCACTAACACACAGGTGAAGAAGTACTAACGCCCGGCCCCTGTCCTAGGCCGCCCACTCGCATACACCGCCACACGGAGAGGACGCTGTAGTCACGGCTTTGACACACACCAAGGTTTGCACCACCACACAAACAGCTGTACTACCCTCTCTATAGCACTGCTTTCCTCCTTTCCTCCCCCCACTGTGTCATGCACACACGTTCCAAATCATACTCGCATACACTAACCCACACAAATATGGAAACCGATGGCGGAAACTCGCCACGACCGAGCGAACACGATAGCGTCGTGGAGGAACACGACGTAGTGGATAACCTTCTGCGCGACTTCACAGAGAAGTTATCCCCAGGGGCCTACGATATGCTTGAGCACGGCTCACCCTCCGACTTACTGGATGCCACTTCCACATTGGCATCCGAGGCTATTAAGAAGAAACTGGAAGGTAAGCCCCTGACCCAGTGGCTGGGACAGCTAGCCGCGGTCTCCAGGATAACCTTACGCGACTGCGAAGCCCAGAACCAGAGGCTTCAAAACACGGTAGGTGACCTGGAACGACAACTAGCGGAAGCTAGGGTGCCCGCCGCGAGCCGCTTGGAACCAATCCAACAGGTAAGTGGAAACCACCAACTGGGACTTAACACGATTCCAAGCGCGACCATGGATCTAGATCGCGCAGCGAGAATCAGGGCCGCTATTTCGAACGGAACCGGCCGAGATAGTGCCTCCGGCGCACACTCCCCTCACTCCGACCGTGGCGGACCATCGTCCGAGAGTGAACGCAGGAGCGTGGCCGAACTGGTAAGTATCATCACGGGAAAAGACCAGAACCAAGGTCAAAGACACGATACACAACCCAACAGTAACAATCGGAACAGGTCCCAACGGTCCGTCAATGACGAACCCGATCACGTTGCGCGCAACCCCCACCATACAACGGGACCGCCCGCAACTACAGCCAACCCTCAACACTACATTAGACACATCGACCACCTTGACCCCAGACTCGACCCACCGACGAGCCAGGCGACGTACCACGTGACAGACCGCTCACGGGTCCCCGGGGACCCCTCCGCCTATGAGAGACAACCCCCGGCCGGACCCGCCGCAGCGCACAGGCACGTTAAACACGAAACGCATGGCCACCAGACCCATATGTAGCACCTGTGGCCTGATTAAATGTTGAGACTAATGAATATGAGTCAAAGAAAACAGGTAACACAATTGAAAGTCTGGGCTAGTAACAGAAGTCTAGTTACGGCTCTAGGAGGGAGTGGACAGGAGACGGAATAACTTTTTGCATTTAGTAATAAAGATGAGAAAACCGTGCAAAAACATTTACAGTGTACACCAAGTATAGATAGAATGGCCATTCAGTAATAAAAGTACAATAGCAACAATGATTCAATGCAGCTGTTGAAATAACACTCAGACATATTTCAAAATGAACAAAAAAGTCCAGAACCCACAACTTGGGAACCCTCAAAGCTGAGGGATTCAACACACTTCCCGACCCCTCCACAAGTCCCAAGGAGAACCCACGTCTGGGTTATAATGTGAATGTCCAAGGGGGAATTGTCTTTAGTTTATGGGGGGAATAATGTGTGTGGGCAGTGAGAGGTGTGTGGGGAGAGTTCGTGGGCTACAAGGAGCCCCCTACCAGCCCGGCAGGAGAGGTAATTCCGTTTCTTCAGCGGAGTGCCAGACTATAGGCTCTCTGCCTGCTCCTTTCTAGCTCGCCATCATCGAATCAGTAGGAACCATGGCCCTTGAGAACAAGACCAAAGCTCCAATAAATAACCAGGTACCAGTTTAGTTCTGATCCAAGCTAGTTGTTTAAAGCTAAAATCACTCAGGCTAATGTGCACATATAATCAATGATACATATAATATTACAATAAGAATCATAATATATCTCATCCATAAATAGCAATGCTATCAATCTTATTCAAAATACAATGTTCAATAATACTATTTTAACCTTACTGTATTGTAAAGATCAGTACATATTCAGTCATTAAAAGTCATTATCAATATAGTATAAACAGTAACCAAAAACAACACCATAGAGTGACAATGTCAATGTAAATGTACAGCTACATATGCTGTTTTAGGACACTGACTAAACACCATAAAAACGGGAGCTTAGCCACTTCAACATACATTGGAAACAGTATTCTCACATGTTAATTGCATGTACATTAAATTCATTGTGGACATAGTCCAGAAACAGGCATTAACACTGTGGAAATAGAATGCTAATCGGCGCTAGCTAAGCGGCGCTAATGCTAACGGTAGCATAACAAGACTGCACTCACCAGTTCGTGATGAATCCCCACTTAAGACCTTTCCCACTCGGTTTGGGACACGGTAGGAGACTCCTATAAGTTAGCGCATAAACCAGGTAAGTGTCACGAAAAATGGAACAAGTTAAACAGAAGAAAATCGAGTGTTTGACAGACCTGTAGCACGCCTCTGATGTTGCTTCCCCCACAGCCACTACAGACTGATGCGGGTCGCCATATTAGAATGCGTGATACGTCCTACTACGTCCCGTGACGTGATGACGTCACACAAAGAAAACGCAGTGATTTGCTAACAGATATATATAGCTATAGTGAATGGGGGGATAATATAAAAAGGCTTGGGCTTGGGCAGACACACGCAGGTTTTACCACCTGGGTTACACATACACACGGACTGACCATGGACCGCGACGAACAACGGCCAACAGCCCGCCATTGGGACGGTGGAGACCACCTCAACCAGGGACGGGACTCCCACGTCGCCCCTCCGGGAACACACATGGACATGCGACGCAGCCAACATGGCTACTCGACCCATGACTCTGACCCACCTGACGTCCATACGAGACATGTTTCAGACTACCGCCATTGGGACGAAAGGGCCCGCCCTGAACATGGCGGACAACCCTACAACGTTCCCCCTGGCCCACATCAGTACATGCTACATGGACCACACGACATACGGTACCCCCTGAGCCTGGGCCGCCCGCATATGCTGCGGCACAACGGCCAGCGACCCGCCATGGGAACGCCGGGGACCTCCCCAATCATGGAGGACAACCCCACGGCACCCCCCCGGACGCACGCCAGGACCTGACCCCAGGGCAACGGTACTACCCGGACCATAGAGGACGAGACGCCCGTTACGCGCCCCCGATAGGTCGCGACCCGCTCGGACCATCCGACCGCGACTTCGACCGCATAGCTAGACACATAACCCGCTTCGACCCCCGGCCCGGCATGCCTACAAACACCCGGTCATACCTCCGCATCGTCGACTTCCACGCCGACCGCATACCACACGCGTCTCAAGATGACAAAATATACTTGATTAGACTCACGTCCAACGGAGAGGTGAATGACTTCATCGAAAGGCAACCAAGGGCTATAAAACATGACTACAACGAGCTCTGCAAAGCCATCCTAGCAGAATACTCAGACTACGGCGCCTCCGGGACCCTCACGGCAGCCATGGCGGTCAAACAAGCTCACAACGAGCTTGCGGAATGCTACTACCACAGGTTGCGACAGGCCTTCTTCGGCAACCGGAACTACGAAGGGATGGAGGAAGACACAAATTTCAGGGCCCTGTACCTCCAAAACCTCCACCCCAACCTTAGCCAACTACTGGGCGTGTACGCCTGCCCCCTTACGCAGGACATACGACAACTGAAGACCCTAGTGGCACGGGCACAAGGCAAGCACCTGCTCAAGTCACAGGCTAAACCGCAAACCCAACCTTCGGTGTACAGTGTGGAAAACCACATGGAACTTGAAGGCGCACCAACGGCCCCAAAACACAAATGGGAACCAAACCACAGACCCCAAAGGAATAACCAGAGACAAGCGGAACCAAAAAGCGGACAGCCACGCGACCAGAAACTCCCGCAATACGGTGAGAGACGCGCCGGCCAAGCCGACGGGAAAGACCGAACGCCACAACGATCCCGCCAAGACCGCACCGCTACTACCATAAATAAAGGAAACCTCTCCAGAGAGGAACAGTCCCTCCTCCGAACGCTCCTGCGCAAGGCCAAAGAAAGGAAGACGGACAACGCCGACGTGTTCGCAGTGTCCGTGCCGGATGACGCAGAGGACGCACCATACCGGGTAAACGACGACCTCAGCGAACGAGAGCTGGACGACGACTACTCTGACCCATACATACTGGAGGAACTCCAGAACGAGCTGGGCGAGGAAACCTGGGAGCCCCACCCACATGATGAAGACGCCTACTGCGACCAAAGAGACGTCATGGTGGTACAGGTAAGTTCGATCACCGACCCGCGGGGGGATGGACCCTCGACAATCAGGTGCGAACCACCGTTCCACCAGTTCATTGGCGATTTACAACAGAAGGGAGCCAACAGGAAACTTTACTTGTCCGTGACACTCGAGGACCAATGGGAACACGAAGCGCTCATTGACACAGCCGCCGACATCAGCCTGATTGCCGGCGACCTCTTCGGTAAGTTACAGTCACTGGCAAGAAAATCCCACAGAGACCTAAAGACACAACTGTGTAACTTGGAAATACGACCCTATTCCCAAGTAAACACTACCATACACAAAATGGCGCTAATACAACTCACGGTGGGCCCCATGACGCTGGTCCACCCGGTCTACATCTCCCCGTTCAACTCTATCCCGCTCCTGCTGGGCCAGGACCTCCTGAACCGCTTCGAGCCCCTGATAGACTTCCAGCGCCTAAAGATCTGGGCCCAGGTCCGGAAGCCTTTGCCCATCCCACGCACACTGAGCGAAACCCACTGCTACCTCGTGGAGACGCCACCAACAGCCGAACGAAGGCCGACCAAGGCACTAGCCGAAACCGGTCGCCAGGACTTCCCGACAAGTACCGGCGCCAACTTCCTGTGCGCCTTCACGCCATCCGCGCATTCGGACTCACCCGCCATAAACGCCGGTGTAATCTTGGAAGGCGCAAACTTCCCAGTCGCCGCCCTCGCCTACTGGGCGGACAAATCCGCGGTCAGCCAGGACGTGTTCCACACGCTGGCCCAAAACTCACCAAAACTACCATTTGTGAGGAAGGCCTCGCGCTTCCCAAAGGACCACCGGTCCACGGACGTGCTCCCAGCTATAGGATTCTGCTCACTCGCTTTGCAGATACATGACAAGACGCTTAAGCACACGTTCTCGGTCGTCAAAGGCTTGCCGCACCCGATAGTCATCGGCGGCGACGTCCTGACTCGCTTAGACACACAAATAGACACGATCAACAACGTCCTCTGGTCGCTAACGACCGTGACGAATAAATCCGAGACCCCCCCGCTAGACAACCTAAAATCGGGCCAGACCATACCGGAGGTGTGCCAGGTGGCAGCGCAGAACCACCTCTCGCTGCCACCCAACACGTCCGCGCCACTAGGCTTGGTAGTCCTACCTGGCCAAATGACCAGCAACTCCCAGGTTTTCTTCCAACCGTCCCACCTTTTCCTGACGCTGGGCTTACAAACGGAGGCGACCCCCCTCCTACGGCTGGAAGGCCGCAGGGCGCACGTTAAGGTGCTGAATACCACAGGAGACGCCATCCTCATACCGCGGGGCACCCCACTGGGCTGGCTGATCGACACTACGTTCCACGATTTCGACCTACGCCTCCCGGTGATAGGGGACTGGCCAACAGGGCTGGACCGGGACCCCGACGCGCGGGCCCTGCTCACCAAACCATCAAGGTCGATCTCACTCTTCACGGTACCCGGCCCCAAATCCAGCGACGTGTATAGAGTCGACCTGACTAACCAGTCGGAGATGGTCCTACAAACCATCTCAGTCATAGACTCGGGGGTCGACACCTTCCCCACCCGAGAGGTTCACGAGCCAACGCAAGAACCCACCGCCTGCCCCTCCTTCGAGGAGGAGCTGGACAAAACCGTGGCGTTAGCGGATGCCATCAACACTGACGAAGAAAGAGCTAAACTCCGCCAGGTGCTGATGAAATACAAATCCTCTTTCGCCACAGACGCAACGGACTGCAGTCTGACCAACATTCACACAGTCCGCATTCCGTCTAAACCCAACGCCCCGCCGACCTACGTCCGCCAATACAAAATTCCCTTGGCATCGTATAAACCGGTGCAGGGCATTATAGACGACCTCCTCGTAAAAGGGGTCATAAGACCAACTCCGGACGTCACGCCCGCACACACGACCCCTGCCTTCGACAGGTCCGACCTGGTGTCCCTCCAAAATGCGGACCCCATGCTGAAACGCCTCATCGATGCCACGAACGACCCGAACGGCCATGACATTACACCCGACACGCTGTCGAGTGACGCAACGCTCCGGAAACTCTGGCGCCAGAGAGAGAGGCTGTCCATACGACATGGGCTTCTGGTTTATGCTTCCAACGCACACACTTCGCCGGTGCTCGTGGTGCCTCAAAGCATGAGGGGGGTAATGTTGGCACACGCCCATGACGCACCTTCCGCGGGACACAGAGGTATAAACAGCACACACCAGGCACTACAACAGGTGGCCTACTGGCCAAACATGCAAAAGGACGCCAAGCAATACGTCGAGGGCTGCCTCGTGTGCTGCCAATTCCAACCAACAAGACCACTACACCGGGCCCCCCTACAGTCCAGAGGTATAACCTTCCCCTGGTCGGACCTCCAGATCGACTGGGTGGGCCCCTTAACGAAGTCTACCCGAGGCAACAAATACATCCTTATGGTCACCTGCGCATTCACCAAATGGGTCGAAGGCTTACCAGCCCCAAACGACACAGCGCAAACGACGGCCTGCCTACTGATGAACCATGTGTTCTCACGATACGGACTACCGTGCCGAGTTAACTCGGATCGCGGCACGCACTTCACCGGGGAAGCCATGACCCACCTGTGGGAAGCACTTGGTGTTCGGGCCTCCCTTCACGTGAGCCACCACCCCATGAGCTCGGGGCAGGTAGAAAGAACAAATCGGACGGTGATCGAAATACTAAAGAAGTATGTAGCTACAAACCAGAGGGACTGGGATGTGAAACTCCCACTGGTCCTGATGGCAATCCGAGCCACACCCCACCGCTCCACGGGGGTCTCCCCATTCGAGATGATGACAGGTAGGCAAATGACGCTCCCGCTGCATCTGCTCTACCAGCCAGGCGAAGCGAATATCGCCACGGCCTACACCACGCATCACTACATGACCGATCTGCAGGACCACCTGAAACAAACATTCGCGTTCGCTCAACGGAAACTGGGAAACAGCGCCGAAGGACGGAAGGCCTATTACGATCAAAAGGCGTCCCACAACGAGCTCCAGGTCGGAGACCAGGTATGGTATTACATCTTTGCACATCCCCCAGGACAAATGGGAACCGGCCCCACCAGACTGCGCCAGAAACTGCTACCTCGCTGGTCAGGGCCATACAAGGTAGTAAACAAGCTCTCACCCGCGGTGTACCAGATCGAAATCACCAAAGGTAGGAGAGAAACCACCCTCAAATGGGTACATCGCAACCAAACCAAACCACACAAACCAAGCCCCATGGGACAGGTAGGGCACACCGCAAACCCCAGTTAGGAACACACCACGTGACCTCAAACTCGATCAGCCCAACACCCACTAACACTCTTCTCAGCTGCACTAATCGAGTCTCTCTTCCTCCCTCTCTGTCTAACCCCTAACAATTGTTTCACGCCTTGCAGAACATGTGGCCCACTTTCCTTCTCATGCTGACCTGCATACTGTGCCTCGGCACCCCAGAAATTATCGAGACCGGACCTCATCACGGACGTCCGACTCCACACAGCGAATCTTTGTCAGACTCAACCCTAGTGAAGTCTGCCGCAAGAACCTGCCCTTGAAGGTCACACTCAAAGATTGGGCAGGTGCACGCTGGACCCAGACGGTCGTGGAGCACGCTGAGGCAGACATACAACACATGCTGACGCAACTAGAGAAGTTCACGATCACTAGGACAGAGCTCAGCGACCCTCGCCCCAGACCCAAACGATTTATTGGGGCTCTCCTCGGCGCGGCGTCCGCCCTGGGTACCCTCTTTAGCTTAGGGATGTCCACGGTAAACGCCATCAGCCTATCCTCCCTCAGACGCCACCAACAAGAAATGGCCTCTGAGCTCGAGGATGTCAAAACCAGACTTGACCAACAACAGAACGACGTGGTAACCTTGGGAAAATCCCTGAAAGGAACCATGCTAGTACTTAACACGCACGAGGTTGCGATTAAACGCACCTCCGCTGCGGTCAACCAACTCTTAGACGTCCTCCAACTAGACTACGCCCATACTCAGCTGACCACACAACTGATGGAGGACATGTTACGTCACCTCAGCTCCTCCATCGAAAACCTAGCCATGGGCCGTATCCCGCCATACCTCGTGCCGCTATCGCTAGTTGAGGACATCCTAGCCGTAGCCACACGGGACGCTGTAACACCCATGCAAGCCCACTTAGCGTACACGCTGGGCGCTGCAGTCCCCATCTATGTCAATCCTCTAGACCGCGAGGTAGCCTTCCTAGTCACCTTACCGATAGTTCCCGGCGACAAAATCTACCGACTGAAAGGGATCACTAACCTAGGGACCTGGAGGGACAATGCCCACGTCAGAGTCCAGACGCCAGACATAGTAGCCTACCACGACAGCAACCCCAATTTGTACCTAACGCCAAATCTAAGGATGTGCACCCTCACTAAAGACATCCATTACCTCTGCCCCAGCAAACCTTTCGTCAGGGACAGCACAGATGGCATCTGCGGCCTGAGGCCCATGACTCCAGGGAGTCGATGCCCCGCGACGGTCACCTCTCGGAAGCAAATAACCGAAACCAGAGCAGAGATTGTAGGGGCACGATGGCTAGTGAACACTCCCCTTAGAACGGCGACCCTGACCTATGACAAACATGACACCTCGTCCCGAGTAAGTCTCCCGGACGAAACCTTCTGGGTCAACGTCCCAACCGACGCTATCCTGCACATAGGCGACCTGGCACTATACCACCTGTACCCAAACCAGTACGAGGCAGAGGTTGAGGTACCAGAGTTCTTTGAGAAAAGGGCCTTGGAACTTCAACCCTCTACCCTAGTCCAAGCCACCTACGAGGGGGCACAAACCGTTGACGTTACGGTCGTAGACAACCTCCTTCAAGAGATTGCCAAGCGACCGACAATCCACCACCAACCAGTAGCCTACTCCTGGGCCGCCCCCGATACAGTCATGGCCATCGCGGTAGGACTCGGGTACGGCCTGGCCGTAGCCACGGTCTTCGTCCTAAATAGACGGGTTAGACGACTCCGTGATAGCTTTAACAGGTGCACGGAGGCAATGACGAGACAGATCCGTAGACGACCAAACCGGGGCGACAGCGCCGTCGAGCGTGGCAATTTGAGTTGGCGCCCCCAGGTCAATGAGTCAGAGTACGAGGACCTCCAAAGTCACCCACTCGAGACGGTCACTCTTTCTATCACGGAAGGTGAACCAAGGGCCTAAAACCCCACTAAGAGTCACCAGCTCAGACCCAACCAAACTACCTCGATACCTAATCAGTCCCCTAGACAATCATACCTGTCATCCCCGTTTATATACAGGAAATGACCCTCGTAATTAAAGCCCCACTTGCTACGTCATATATTTGTGTAACCCTTATACTCCCCTGTTGAACGAGCAAGATGGGAACCCCTCAAGTGACTTAATGACGCTCCTACCCGCTGCCAAGACAGCCACCCTTTTTTTTGATTTTTGAAGTTTCCTATTTTTGTATCCTAGTCCCCTAAAGTAGAAACTCCTGCTACTCTCTTGGCTTGGAACTTTGAGTCTTCCAGACCAAGAGACCCAGGAGTCAGGCGCACCGGCCCAAACCTTAGAGTTCACGGCCGGAGCTCACTCCCTAAACCCCTGATCCCGGTTAGAACTAGCCTGCAGGGCCAGGACTCGCCTTAGAGAAAACCCGGCCTCGACAAACCAAGCCAGAGGCCCGAGACCCAACCGCCACGAGCCTGGCCCCAGTTAGGCGCTTGCGAATTACTGAGTCACATTGAGGCGAGAATGTTGTAACATGTCACCACAAATCACGCACTAACACCCGAAGAGGCGAGACGACCGACTGAGGACGCCCACTCGGCATATCCGACATGACATGCACCTTGTCGGAAGGTGCATCTCTGCCGTGGGGGGGGTATGTAGGGTGAGGAAAAGGTGAGCGCCAATCGGGCGTGAATAGCAGACCCTTTCCGTAAACATGCCCTCCCTAGCTCCTGAGACTTCAAAGTAACTACGGGTTCAATGAAAGGCTAACATTCACCAGGAACGCCGCAAGAAGACCCAGAGGGGCAATAAAACAACAGAGCGGACATCTGTGTGCCCTTCTGCCGGACAGAGATCAGGAATCATTCATCAGCAATCGCTCATGGGACATTCCACAACCTGAGACTCCCCCACGGCACTCTGGCGCCCCCCAGTGGACACTGAACACCATCACACCCGGCCCGGACATTCTGTAGACCAGCCCGGACTCAGTGTTATTCCGATAAGTCTGTACCGCGTCCTACATGTGTGTATCAGTGGCAAATAATGAAATGTGGTGTGTGTTTGTACATGTGTTATGATCGTCTGTATTAATCCTGTGTGTTCCCATTATAACCCATCTGTTGTGAGGAGGTTGTCCAAGGAAGACGCACAAATATGACGTCACGGACGCGCCCACTTTGACCACAACAAAACCAGTCTGCAAACCTAGAGACTGCCTCTTGTTTTTCCCGAATTCATCATAACAACCATCCCGTTTGGTACGTGTCCCCTACACGGCCTACGCCCGCCACCATCTCGGGCCTGTACATCCACGAGGACAGCAATCACTCTCGCTGTCGGAGACGAGGACCTTCCATCGCCAGCCACTTTCGGGCTCCTTGGAACACCCCACCGCAACGCTATTCTAGACCGTGTCGTGTGTGGAACCCACGCCTGGACCCGATCTGCCGGCTCCCTCCTGCTCCCTGTTCGAACAAAGACCACGTGGACGAGGACATCGCCTCCATCCTATTCTTCATTCTCACCCTCCATCTCCATCCTCATCCTAATCACCCATCTCCCTCTGAACGGCTCAAAAGTAAGACTGTTCTTTGTTAAATGTGCGATTTTAATGAAATGTGTACAACTCCTGCTTAAATGTGACCAGAAATCCCTTTTCGTTATATTTTTACCTTCATTTTTGTAATCAATAAAACCATGTTAACACTGTAATTCCATTCCCCGAGCGTCGTGTTTATAAATACAGGATATCACTGGCAGATTTTACGCATTCACTACCTATTAGATTTATAAGACTGATTCGAGGCAAATTGGTTGGATCTGTGCAGTGTTTCACACACTGTTGGTGCCCAAATAAATATAAAACAGATCTCACTCGTGGAGCACGGTAGGTCTCCAGCTAGAGACCAGCCGTACTACACTATTCTTCCTTAATACATATTATACCACATAAATATAAGTAGTTACCCTACAGAGTCAACCGCCTTATCTCATCCACTTTGGCAGAGTGTACTGAGTGAACCTTGAGATTACGCATGTTTACATGTCTTATCGCAGAATCCCCGATAAAGAGCGACTCAGCTGCATTTGACCTTGACTGAGACTGAGACTGGGACTGAGAGGCTACTGCTGATTCATCTTCCAAAAGTGGTGAATAGCGGTTCCTTGTAATTAAAGATTTTTGCTGTGGCATTACGACACTCTTGTTATCATTAGCTTTGCCTTGTTTGGGCTTGGCACCATATGTGTACCAACAATTGTCTCTGTTGATTTTGGGAAATGAAATAGCGTCATCATAACTTACGTTCTGTTCATTTGGTCCATTTCCTTTCACTGGTATTGTTGTGTTCAGCCCCAATTCTGATTCAAGCACAAACATTCGGTCTTGAAGAAGTTTTAGCTCCTGTTTGAGTGAAAAACAGCCGTCGCAAAGTTTTGTTCTTTTTTCCCGTCCTCCCGACATGCTGTAAGTTAGGTAAATTCCACAAGTCTTGTGTTGAAGTTTGTGAAAAGGAGTAATCCGTGTTTTGTGGAATAAAAATGTAAGCAAAAATGATTAAAGGAGATAAAAAAGCAGCAAGCGAGGAGCAGCAAGAGAATGCGACTGCTCTGTCCAGAGCAGGAAGAGCTCTGGACATGCATTTCTTTGCAAATGTTATCTTTTTTAAATGTATTTAATTATTTCTGTATATATTTATTGTTTTGGCAGCCACGGTTCTCCATATGGATCTATTAGTTTTGATAGTTGGTTATATTTATTTCCGCTTCCGTCCCGATTCTGTATAGGTGCCGACCCTCTGGTCAGGGACAGAGCCGGCAGTCACAAACAGGGAAACATAACAACTATTGAAACAAACATAACAGATGCTGTCGGGTAAGAGAAGGCGTCTAAAATGGGGAGGCAATGTTTCAGATTCATTCAGCTTTAATCTGGAACAGTCTTAATGAAAATGTGAGATAGGCTTTTACTCTGACTATGTTCAAATCCAAGTGAAAACAATTTGCTGCAGCAACTGAAGGATTTTATCTTCACTCTCTTTAAAGGTTTCATATTACGCTTTTTGACTTTTTTCTGGTTTAAACATGATTACAGTGCAATTTGGCCTTCATACACATGCCCAGAGTAGTTTTTTCATTGTTGATTCCCTCAAAGCTTTAGCAAGGGAGCGATCATTCATTTTCGAGAGGCACAGTAATGAGCTGTTTCAAATCATGACGTCAAAAGCCCGCCTCCAAGAGGTGATTGACTCACACAGTATGTAAAAATCTGGCCAAAAGTGGTACTGCACTCTCCCTGACTCAGGTAATCAGTTTTGCAGACGACCCCAGCTGGGACAACAATATCTAAATAGACAAGAGTTTTGTCAACGACAAATCTGTAACCAGCACCTTTATTACAAAGGCCCTGATAGAAATACTTGTTTTATTCCTTGTTTTGTCATTAATGATTTGAGAATCAAAACAAGACCTTATTTTTGTACTGCTGCTACATGTTTCTTTACCAGTGAGATTAGCTCGACGCGGTGAGTTCTGGTAACCTGGATCACGGCCTTTCTGATTGGTGAAAGGGTGGAGGGCGGGACATCGTAATGAAATCAATAACAAGATTTAGGGGCTGTAAAACTAATTTTGAAATTAAAATATCTCGGCTGAACTATTTTTGTCAGTTATAAGATAAGATAAGATTGCTTTATTTATCTCACAGAGGAGAAATTTACATGTCACATTTGGCATGGATAGAGACACTCAGATTGTGCAAAGGGAGGAAATGTGCAAACATGTTACATGCAGGATATATGTACAATAAAGTGACAATAATTATGTACAACAAAAGTGACAAGTGTCAAACAGTGTCAATAGTAGTGCAGGTTTTCACACAGTGATCATTTAAAGTGACTTATTGTACAGTCTGACAGCGGTGGGGATAAAGGCCCTGCGGTAGCGCTCCTTCCTACACTGAGGGTGCCTCAGTCTTCCACTGAAGGAGCTCCTCAGCTCCTCTACAGTCCTGTGCAGTGGGTGGGAGGTATTGTTCATGATGGAGGTGGCTTTGTCTAGCACCCTCCTGTCCCTCACCTCCTCCACAGAGTCCATGGAGCAGCCCAGAGTGGAGCTGGCCCTCCTGACCAGCTTGTTCAGTCTGTTTCTGTCCCGCTCTGTGCTGCCCGGGGCCCAGCACACGGCAGCGTAGTAAATGGCAGAAGCTACCACAGAGTCATAAAAAGTCCTGAGCAGAGGCCTGCATGCTCACTCCGAAGGACCTCAGCCTCCTCAGAAGGAAGAGGCGACTTTGGCCCTTCTTGTGCAGGGCGTTTGTATTATGGGACCAGTCCAGTTTATTGTTAATGTGAACACCCAGGTACTTGAAGCTGTCCACCAGCTCAATGTCCTCCCCCTGGCTGTTCATCAGTGTGTGGGAAAGTGGTTTTCTCCTGAAGTCGATGACCATCTCCTTGGTCTTACTGGTGTTCAAGCACAAGTGGTTGCGCTCACACCAGTCGACAAAGTCCTTGATAACTGACCGATATTCCAGTTCGTTCCCCTCAGACACACAGCCCACGATGGCGGAGTCGTCGGAGAACTTCTGCAGGTGACAGCTGTGTGTGTCGTGTGTGAAGTCTGAGGTGTAGATGGTGAAGAGAAACGGTGAGAGAACAGTGCCCTGAGGGGCCCCAGTGCTGCAGACTACCACCTCAGACTCACAGCTGCGCAGCCGCACGTACTGTGGTCGGTCTGAGAGGTAGTTGATGGTCCATGCAGTGAGGCTACTGTCCACTCCCGCGTCCTCCATCTTCCCCCGCAGCAGTGCCGGCCTGATGGTATTGAAAGCGCTGGAGAAGTCGAAAAACATGACCCTCACAGCGCTCCCGGCGGGCTCCAGGTGGGAGAGCGTCCGCTGCAGGAAGTAGATGACGGCGTCCTCTACTCCGATGTTGGGTCTGTAGGCGAACTGCAGCGGGTCCAGGGTGGGGCTGACCACGGAGCGGAGATGGGTGAGGATGTATTCGAAAAGAGCATGGTTTATTCATGCCTTTTGACATCTTACATATTGCTACTTAAATCCTTCTTTTCTGGTTCTGTTAAGCACCTTGTGTATGAACTGTGCTATACAGATAACCTCACCTTGATGTGGATGTGATGTCTCAGTCCTGTCTGCAAACAGCGTAAAGAACGAGCCCATAAAACAAACACGCAGAGTTGATCATGTGTTTAATGAAGGGATCAGACACGTCCGTGGTGGTTAACCTCACTTCTGCAGCCCAGTCTCCACCACCGCCACGCACCTAAAATGACTCTGGCACCTTATCTTGATCCGTCACCCTCCCAAGACTCTCACCCGGGGTCGCAGCTCTCCCCCCTTCTCTGCTCCTACCACCCTGTGCCGTGCGTATGTAATAGCAGGGGGAGGAAGGGGCGACAGCGAGGAGCGAGAAGTTTGTCAGAGTTCATTAAGTATCAAGGGAACGTGGCTGGAACTGGCAGTGTGAGCCACACCGGGGCCCGAGCGCCATTAATCACGACTGACAAGAACCCAAGTCCCCGAGGCCCCGAGGGGAGGGCTCATTACAGCGGGGCCCTCACAGCAATAAGGCCGAGAGCAAGTTAAAGTGATGTGGGGAAGTGCAGTGTATGGGTTATATCATAGAGTGTATACAGATGGCAACCCACTATAGCTCAATGAAGCTCAAAGGGAAGTGCCCATGGAGGAAGTTTGGCTCCTGTTGACTTACATGTAAAAGTAAACAAATCTAGCCCAGTTATCATTTGTGTCACACTCACCAGTTTGAGGTTTAAATATCTGTGGTTTAGCTCTCTGTGATCCTGGAGTTTATAATGTGATGTCTTTTTTGTGAATTCAGATATGAGCCATATAAAAATCGACCAATCAGATGCCTTCAATCACCATGGAAACTACAGCTTGGCTTAGCAACCGTCTTAGCAACCCGTCTGTCCCTGTTATAATGCTAATGGAACATATTCTCATATAAGGAAATTGGCTTCAGCTAGCTTATATTCAGCCTCTTCCGCATTAAAAGGATATAGGAGGATTTCCTTTTTCCGGGTGGGTTATCAAGACCTTTGGTTCTAATAATTGTCAATCATTCAGGTGATATGTGACTTGTCAAACAAGACCAGAGTGTTTTTGGGAGATTATTTCACACAATGGCGTGCGCTGAAAGCCCAAGTTGGGCTTCCTACTGATGCTTCAGTTACGAGGTTTCTACTTGATAGGTATAGTCTGGCCTTCTATTTGGAGAAATCCACTTCAAAACACTTTCAGTGAAAGTTATCTATGTCTATATTGTCTGACATAGTGGAAAAAGTGCAAATCTTCTTGGAAAGTCAGCTTATGTGAGCGATTCGGACAGTAACTTGTAAACAGAGCATGCATGAGAAGAACTGGGCTAGTGCACGTCTCTCGCACTCAGTAGCACTCACAGAAGCAGGTCATGTGCATTTTTTCAAAAAATTGAGAGGGTGGTTCTTTCCTAATATTTTGGAAAATCCTTCTATATACTTTTTAAGGCTATAGACTTGTTTTCTTCTGACATATCTACATCATAGTGTTGATGACACCAAAACAGCACACACAGAGGCACTCACACACAAACTTAAACACACACACAACAGTAGTTTAACGGTACTTTTAACAGTAATTTTAATTGTGTTAATAAGCAGTATGTTATAATAATAAACTATAGCAATATACTGTACGTTAAAAGTCTCATATGTTATTGGTGAAAAATAGTGCGTATAGAGGAGAATGGCAGCAGTGAGATGGAGAGTGTTGGGGGAGTGATGGGGGAGTTCTGGGGGAGCGGACTGCCTGCTGCAGACAGAGCGCTGTGTTAAGTGCAGTGCTTGAAAGCCCGTCCGGCCTCATTAGCTGTCAGAAGTAACAATAGTGCGCTGGCAGCAGAGACTCGCTCCGCTCTGGGTGCCATAAATCACCCTGTGACAGCTCCTGACAGGCTGGGAACTCCACACATGCAAGGCCTCCCTCCCTCCTCTCACCCTGCTCTCCTCTCCTCTTCCTTCACTTCTCTCTATCCTCTCTTTCCTCCTCCACTTCCCCTCTTCTCTCTACTCTCCTCTTCTCCCTCCTCTCACTGCTTGCATGTCTTTCTCCTCTTCTATTTCCTCTTGTCCTCGCCACCTTCCTCTCTCCTATTCTCTTCGCTTCCTTCCTCTCTCCTCTCCTCTTCTCTACTCTCCTCTCTCCTCTTCTCTACTCTCTCTTCCTCTCTCCTCTCCTCTTCGCTCTCCTCTCATTGCTCTCACATCTCTCTCTCCTATACTCTCCTTTGCTCTGTTTATTATAAATAAATGTAGTGAAATTTCAGCCATATATGGCTTGCACTTTTGTATTTTTATAAAATCTAGCCGTACATTTGGTAGTTAAATGTACAATCTCTTATAATGTATTTAAATACTCATTTTAAATAGTTGTAGCAGGTGAAAATGATAATGAAGTATTTTTGTTGCTCTAAATCCTCTGAGGAGTTACTTGGAAAGAGGTAGAGAGCTACAGGTTGGAGACCTCTGACATAACTAGTTTCTCACTCTCAAAACAATTTGGTTCTATCATTATTTTTGTGACAACTTAATAGATCAAATAATTATTCACTTAAGTGTGATCGCCACTGGTCTGAGCGCTGTGGCAGCTGTCAAAAGCCGTGCATACGCTGAGAGCACACTGCATGGAGAGAGAGACCAGAGAAAGAGGCCTCTGAACTCATCAATGTGGTGCACACAAGCCACACAAACAGTTTTCTTCTGACTTAAAATAAAAATAACTGTCAGCGGTTATGGGCTGTTGTTGGTGTTTTTACACGCATGATAAGCATGCAAAGAAAATCTCTCTCTAGTCTTTTTCTCTGGTCTCTCTCTCTGGTCTCTTTCTGGCCTATAACATACTGTACATGAATGTGAAAACTAGTGGGAGAAGCATTCTGTTTTGGAGCCAGGAGTTACATTGATTTTATTATATACACTGTCGATAAATGATTTTCTCTAAAGTTCTCTCAATCTTTAAAAATTGTATATTTTACAATATTTTAATGTCACTAAGTGATTTTGATATGAGTCACAGTTTTTTTCTGTTTTTATTACTGTGAATTGATGTTTTTACAGTAGATTAGATGATAAACACATATCATTAAACTAATTTCAACAAACATTTTTGTTGATATAAATACATTAATATTATGTTGTAATTTTACAATAATTTTCTGTTCATGTAATTAAGTCTCTTTTTACAGTGTAATTCTATTTTTTTGGTCTGAAAGTTAGGTAACCCAGCTCTTAACTAAATGCACATAATTTCCATTAAAATATATGAATAAATTTATCCCAATTCTTTTATTTGCAGATGTAACCATTTGCAGTCAGTTCGGCGACCAAAGGCGGCCTGTCAAAGCCTGCCGTGTGCCGGACTGCATTAGTACGACGTCTGCTGAGGAGAGTGACAGGGGGAGAGAGGGGGGAGGCCAGTGGGAGGATGTGGAAGAGGGGGGAGGCGAGTGAGAGGATGTGGTAGAGAGGGGAGGCAAGTGGGAGGATTTGGAGGAGAGCTGGCCCTGGTCATTAATCACCTGAGTCTGACACGTGAACATGCAAGAGGCCACACGCTCCTGGTCTCTGTGCTGTGTCTGCAGGAACCACAGAAGGAGGAGGAGCCAAGGAGCAGCGTGTTTGTGTGTGGGTGTGAGAGAGCGTGGAAGAAGGGTTTTATCAATATGACAGGTCAGCCTTGAAAGAAACAACAACAAACTCTCATTTTGTTTGCGATATTGTTCCTTGTACCATTATCAGGGAATAGTCGAGTCAGTCCCACTGACCCAAAACCGTTTGGGCTATACTCCACATGCTGCTCTTTGATTCATACAGTTGATCTTGTAAATATATATGTTTGAAAATGACTATATTGCGCCAACAAGGGATCTGGAAAAGGTGTTCGAGTGTGTTCCCAGATGAATTCCATGCCATTTACTGAGGGGTGTCTGGTCCCTGTGTGTCTGAGTTTAGTTCGCCGGCAGTAAGTCAGACTTGTTCTCAGGGGTGGGCTCAGAGCAGCGTCTTCCCACAAGCGGCCCACGTGAGTTTCCTCCGCAGAGTGGCTGGGCGCTCCCTTAGAGACATAAATGTAAATATGCACTTTATTTATCCCCGTAGGGAAGTGGGGTAACCCTCCCCAGCTCTGGCCACTGCACTGGACTGGTACAGTAGCTTTAGGCGGCTGTGAAAACATTCAGACCATTCTTCTGTGGAAGAATTAGGAAGTCAGCACAGATATGGCTAATGGAGGCGTGGAGGGAGGAGGCTAAAGGGCAAACAGCTGCGGCCCATCCATCTGGAGCAAATCAGAGCCGAGCAGTGCCCCGTGAGGCAGGCCGCTCCAGGTGGACAGCAGTCAGAGGGTCAGCCTGTGTGCACCGCACATTCTCCATGTTTATTCAAGGCAGGATGGTAATGGGGAAGGTATGAGTTGACAGATGTACTTTCATTTTCACTTTTTCAACATTGTTTTTCATCAAAATTACACCAATAGAGACTTCTGCCCCTTCTCTTTAAATGCTCCTTTTTGAAACTCAGTAGAAAATTGCAAACACGAGATGGGGTTTTTCCAAACGATGAGCCAATTATTTGTTTAAACAACCTTTTCAGGGGCTACAGCTGTGAATAAGACACTACCAAATACAGTGTCTAAAGCAGATTTGGAGATTCTTCTCCTGCATTTGTCTCCGCTTGGTTAGACTATTGTAAGGGCCTGCTTGCTTTATGTAAAGTCTATGTACAAGTCTCTCCATGGCCTCATACCAAAGTGCATCAGTGACATGTTAGTGTCATATGTCCCTTGGAGCACAGGGACGGGCTTCCTTCTGGCACCCAGAGTCAAGACTAAACATGAGGCAGTGTTTCAGATTCAGAATAAAATCCTTCTTCCTGAATAATTTTCAAAAAAAGTTCTATTTCGCTGATTGTATCTTCACTCTTTTTAATATTCTGTGAATATTTATGATTTTAATTCCTTGTGTGATTGTAACGTTTATATTCTCGTTTTGCACTATGAGTTTCCCTGTGTATGAACTGTGCTATTAAAATAAACTTTCTTCTTCAAATTTTCCGAGTTCCACCTGTATAAATATTTGAGTTGTATTGAATAAACAATAAATTGATTCGGGTGAAAACAAATATACGCACAGGAACTGGAATATACTTTATGCTTTATTGAAAATCTGGGCAGTGCAAATCTGGCCTCACGGACAGCTGGGTTAACGAAGGAGAAGCCCTTGAACTGGTCTTGGTCGATGTGGCAGATGAGCTGCTGGTCCGGAGGTGTTAGCACAGGCGGTCTGTACGTGAATTACGTTCTTCGCCCCTTTGCTGCACATTAGGGGCTTGAACAGATGTTGGATCTCTCTGCTCTGGAGGCGTTCCCAGTCGATGCACCGGAAGAAGAAATGTCCCCGGATGTTGCGCTCTCCTCCCAGACCACAGCCCAGGCGCTCCAATGGCTCCTTGGTCAGCAGCCTTTTGCAAACAGAAACTGCCTCTTTAGACAGGCTCAAAGAATAGAATATGGCCTTGTACAGGAGATCTTCTTCCCCCAAAACCAGAGGATCTCCTACCAGCATTTCAACGAGCGCAATTCTGCGGGTGGGTGATGAAGGGAGACTTACAAGAGCCAGCACCCTCTTCTCCACCAGTGCGCACTTTATATAGTCACCTTGAATCACCATGTCTTTCCTCAGCATCTTCATGGCATGCAGCTCCTTTGAAGTCTTCATCTCTGCCATCAGGACCTTGACGTATCTCCCGATCCCCAGCACAGCGCGGAAGTTAAAGTGACTGAGTTCAACCTGGTTCATGCTGGTGGAGCTTTCTGAAAGGCTCTTGTCTCTTGGGACCAGCTCGGCTTTCTCCAATCCATTCCAAAGTTCTTCATTTCCATCATTTTGCTCTGAGAGTGGAGCATGGAAGAACTGCACCTCTACCTGGCTCAATAACTTGTACCAGCCAAACACTGGGAAACTCAGGAGCTCTGCGACGCCAAAGAACATAGAACCCATTAGGTCCCAGTCCCAAACTAAGTAAAAATCTCATTCCATGTGAAGTTGAGGGTACCTTCGATGGTCTTGGTCTTAAACTTGGACTCTCTTTTGTGGTCTGGGAAGAGCTAAAGTTAAACATATAGATCTGACATTCCATTGAGGTCCATGGGAGTCAGGTTCTGACCCCTATAACTGTGACCACGAGTTTATCACCGGTGGCCTTCACCTTCCCGTGCGGTCAGTCCCACACAGACTGGGCACCTTGGTCACGCACCTGCTGTGTACGTTCATGTCACAGGAGGTACCCCCTGTCTTGGAGGCCGGAGAGCAGCGCCCCACAGTGGTCACAGAAGGCAGGAGCGATGTAGGAATGAGCCTTGAACTTGTGTTTGAGGCGAGGGCGAGGGTATTTGAGGCCCAGCATCTGCTCCAGCGCAGTGGAACATCAAGTGCATGTGGCACCTCTTGTGGACCGCCAAACAGCCTTGGAAATCATTTTCTCTAAATCCCCAGATGAAACCTGTGCAGTCGCTATAGAATGTCGGAGCCTTGAATATCCATACTATGATCCTGTGCTCTTTAACCTTATCAATCTTTGGTTTAGAGAGGCTGATGCGAGACGAGCCCACCAATTTGATCAGTCCCTGAAGGTCTAAACTGCACTTTCAGTGGCTCTTCTTAAAACATGTACACACTGAATATCAACAAAGACGCATTTTGATTAAAGCTAGTTCCATTCTCAGGAAAACCATCAACAACCGTTTTGATTTAAAATGCTGCTTGCTATCATAGACTGTACATCAGGAGTGGACTGACCCAGGGTGACGTCACCTTGGTGAAAGTCCATATGCAGAAGAGCCTGATTTTAATGTGAGATAGCTGGAGTAAATTTCCTTATACATTTCTTCAGTGTTGTTAGCTCCGTCCAGTAACAAGAGGCAGAAAATCTTTTGTTGGCGAATCGACAACCTTAACTTGTAAAGTCTTGATTCTTGATTCTCAGAATGTTGATTGATTCAACTGAATGTTTTTGCGTATCACCCTAAATCACAGAAGCAGTTGTCTTGGAGGACTTTACGAAGTTGTGGATTCCTCAACAACAGATCAGAAAATCAAACAGTTAAAACACAGGAAATACAATGAATACAAACACATAGAAGTGATTGGTCCAAAGGGAACAGGATGACCACTGTCCTAAAATGTCCTTAAAGCTCCCTGATCATCACTTTTCACAGACCCTCCTGCATCGGCAAGGATGGTCTTCAGTTCTGTTCATGTGGTTTGAAAGGTAGGCACCGCAGCTTTAATGGATGAAGTAAGTAAGTAAATAAGTAATCTTTAATTATATATGTAGCATATTTTTACAGACCAATGTCACCCAAAGCGCTTTACAAAAGGTCAGAGTTAACATATGTTTCCCTTCTCTCCACACAGTTTATGATTTATTACAATCAGACTTATTGTACGTGTTTTTAGTGGTAGGCAAAACAGGAGCACCTGGTGAAAACCTAAACCAAACTCCACACAGAAAGGCCTGGAGGTGGATTCAAAACCTGAACCTTCTTGCTGTGAAACACAAGCTTTAACCGATGTGCCACTCAAGTTCTTCTTAGTCTCCTCAAAACAATCCATACTCATATATAAAGCCTTCTGTGTCCTTGTCTCTCTAATACATTTTTATATGAACTCTTGTAATCCTCCTCACTTACTCATGTAACAATAAAACTCTCAATTCCTACATTCCTCGCTGGCCAAGCCATTTATTTTCCCTTTGCAGCAGTGCTTACAACCACTCGTCTTTTCCTTTTTAAACTTTATGGCCAAAACCATTCCTCACACCGCTCATTTATCTCCACTCCTCTTCGAATGGGAAATGGGAGCACAGGCTGTTCTTTCAAACCTCCACTCGCTGGCAGTCATTTGCAATATAAGATGCAGAAATCTCGTAAACACGACACGACTTGAAGTGTTTTATTGAGTTGTAACTGTCTGTTTGCTTGGCCCTGACTCCAGGTTGTTAGCTAATCGTATTTATGACCGAGCGAGTGATAAATATCGCTGTCCGTGCCTGTGTTCAGCAATAAGACCAATGCAGGCTTTTCTTTTCCATCATAACTGACAGGAGGGGAGGGCGATAAAATGACTGATGAAAGTTGAAGTTTGTCTGGACAGCTGTTGCAGAGAGTTTGGATGGATGTTGGGGCCAAAATATGGGTGAAAGATTGTATGCGGCAAGGGCCAACTCCCTGCGGAGTGAGTGATGTGTTAAAGCAGATGGGAGAAGGCCATGAGGACATGTGGGCGCTATTCTTGCAGAGGTCTGGGATTCGAAATTTCCCCACTGTGGGACGAATAAAGGAATTCTTATCTTATCTGTCTCAGCAGAATCATGTTTTCTTTTTGGAACAAAATGTAAGCAACATGACCAAAGCCTTGCAGCGTTCTCATGGTATGGTATGGTATGATAGAATTTTCATTCTTACAGGGACAATGTACATTAATAAATAGCCAATGGAGAGATGTATTGTACCAGGTTGTAGCAGCAGTAGTAATTTACACCTGTTGCTCCTTCACTTCCGGTGAAGGAGCTGAACGCACGCTCTCATTACTCAGAGTGACCAAATAAACCCTTAAAATTGCCCTAAAGGCACTGCTGCGAAGGGAGAGTTCAGATCTACATACAGACTGTACGCCTCTCTGATGAATCTACGATCCGGCACAGAGACTACGCAAGTACTGAAGACCAAAACCAAGGCTAAGAAGAGCCACGTGCCAGACAAAGCAGGAATGGATATCATCACCCTGGAAAAAAAATCTAAAATTGATGTTTACTGACTTCAAGGTAGACATATTTACACAGATCGGGGAGCTACGTGCGGACTTTGTCAACATTTCGACACAGATTCGAATTTACTTGAAAGAATCAAAATGAGGCAACGGCTAGTATCACAGAAGCACAATCAAGAATAATTCAAGTGGAGGAATGCGAAATAACAAACACACTGATGTTACAGAAGCTGACAAAAGAACATACATTTCTGAAAAATTGGAGTATCTCGAGAATAAATCAAGACACAACAATGTTTGGATTCACAGAATCAAAGAGGGTCTGGAAGGTGACTTCCCAATACATTTTGTCACATCCTTACTTGCAGAGGAACTAGATATCCTCCAAATAATCCAGATTGCAGCAGCTCACCGTTCACTTGGCCAGAGACCCACCCGAGCCAATGCAGCTCCTATGGTCCCTCATAATCCGGTTCGTTCAGTGAAACACTCGCCAGAAGTTCTGCACCCGGCGTGGGCGAAAAAGGAAATCGCAATCGGGGAAGACTGCCTGTACTTCTTGCAGGACTTCTCGAGTAAGATCCAAAAGGAAAGAGACAGGTACTTCCAGTAGAATGTGAAATCACACATAATATATCCATAGACGTCGGAACTAGGGGTGCGGGGGGTGCGGCCGCACCCCCTCCGCGTGTGCCGGGAGCGAGAAGTTATCACTATCCTGCGTTCCTTGCAGCCCAAAACCCGCTCCTCCATGCTGTCGGAGAAGCTTATGAAGCTCTGTCTGGCTAATATCTGTCGCAGCCTCTGAGCGCTCTTTCTCAGCCTTGCGCAGATTAAAGACCTGGCTACACCAGTGACGTGCGGTGGGGGATCAATCATGTGTTCATATGATTATACATCATATAAACCAACAGGACCTACAGGAACAGGAGCGGCTTATACACAATTTGTTTGGCTACAGCAGAATATGATTTAATGTCTGCATTGTTTTCTCATACAAAACGCAAACGTTTGTAAATAGTACAAAGTGTGTTATGGGCCTTACCTTAGGTATTAATGAACAGCACAGACCACTTCAGTTAGGACCAGTTTCATGTTTAAGTCCAGATAATAGTTTGAGCACAGACATGTAATCCTCCATTTGGAAATAAGTTCAATGAGTTTTAAAAAGTAAAAAAACGGGTGTCTCCTCCGTAAACTCCGAGTTTTGCTGCAGCCGACTCCCGGGTAAATCCAATTTCTAAATTCAACCTTACCCTTCACCTCCTTTTCTTATGATTCATATCATCATTGGAAGCAAAACATTACTCTAAGTGCATTTTAAATTATCTTAAAATGTATTATAGGTATGTTAGCCAAACCTGTAGCTGCCCTTAGCAGAAGAAGAACAAGAAAGGAGCTTTCTGATGGAATTGGATGCAGCCAAAGTTTGGGCTCAAAAGCGCCCCCTTGAGGCTTTCCTCACTTACAAGCTGTGGTTGAGCGCGATTAAGACCCATATTTGCTTCAAAAACACAATTTATGAGCCATCCTCTTAAATGTAAACATGTTGATTGTAAATTAAATATTTTTGAACTTTTTAAACTGTGATAAACAGAGAAAACAGTTTGATAGCACCTCACAGGACTCTCCCTGTGAGCTGTTGCTTTTTACGTCTCCCAAGAGAGGCTCGCCTCACAGCACCGCTCTGTCAAATCTGCGATTTCAAGGTATAAATAAATGAAATAAGGCACAGCACAAATCACTTGATAAAGTGACCAAACATTATTGTATCCATTTTATTACTTTTCTTTCTATGATCTTAGGTGAGGGCCTTGCCTGCCTCATCTGACCGCACGTCACTGGGCTACACAACACAATGAAGCCACCGGAGAGACTGACGCATGAATGCGTATTGAAAAAAAAAAAGTTCAGTTTGATAAGTGACTTCCTTGATATATATTGTTTATTTTGTTTTTCTTAACAATTAAGATGGTATGTTATTATCCAGTGTAATCCAAGTATGAGTCTCTCCCTCGACTCTCCCAACAAAAACCCGCCCCCCCTCTCAGAAAATAGTTCCGACGTCCATGAATATATCCAGCTCGATTATGAATTTTCATCAACGAAGCCTCTGAGACGTATGATTGACCCGAAGAAGCCGCAGCGGGGCGCAGTGAAAGGGAAATAATGAAAATAATTAATTAATTAACGCACGCTAACGCAATAATTTTGACACCCCT